CCACAGCAGGACACATATGGTCTCTGAGATTGTGCCATGCTCCTGACACTCCTTCCTGCTCTTTTGTTTTGAAGGGCAGAGAGTTGATTTCACCCACTTTGGTTCTCACCACTGTGGTGGGGCTACTACCTCTGCGGTCGGCAGGGTCAGTGTTCCCCCGAAGCAAGAGCGCACTGACTGGGATCCTGGCCTGTGCAGGTGCCCAGCTGTGCCTCATCTGCTTCCTGTTTGTGCCCTCTTCGAGTTGGCAGGCAGCACCTTCCCAAGGCTCGGTCCCTACTCCTGGTATTAATGGCTACAGGAGGATGCTGCCACGCGTGAGTCAGAGTCAGGGGTCTTGAATGGTCCCTAGGAAGAGAGTGCGCTCTCTGAGCCCCTCCAGTGATGAAGATGACAGCATCTGACTGGTAGAAGACCACTCTTCACACATATTTAAGCAAGCTGACTGTGATCAAAAGACTATCAGACAACATTGCACTCCACCCCCGCCTGTGAGATAATAGAAGAGCTAAAGCTAGAGTTTTTATGAGTTACAGTGAGAGAGAAAGACAGAGGATGGGTTTTCCCTTCACAGCAAGGACATGTAGACATGGCAACATGCTAACGTAAGACAATACCCTACAGGGAAACTTGAGGCAGAAACTGCCCTAACTTCAGTGTTGGGAAATGAACAGGAACATAACTAGCACTAATAGGAACTTTAAAATGACCTGATGGGCATAGGCTTAGAAATTCTGGGTAACTTCCCATAAGGCAGTGCAGACTATAAGGGGGAGTTGACCTGGGGGAGGGAAGGAATGAGGTGGGGGAGAGGTAGTGGACACAGTCATTTATCTCAGACTAATTTTTTATTATTATTATTATTATTTTTATTGTTAGTTTCAGGTGTACAGAACAATGCAATAGTTACCCTTTTCACCCTCACAAAGTAACAACCCCTCTCCCCCCATCCACTGCCCTCCCACCCCCGATATCATGCTTATCTATTACAATTCCATTGAATCCGTTCCCGCACTCTACTCCATGTCCCGAGGTTATATGTATATATAATTATAGTTGACATACAGTATTATTCAACATATCTCAGACTAATTTTTAAAATGCAGTTCCTTGTTCCTTTTAGGATCAACTCATTAGTCTCACTTCTTATGGCATTTGAGGCTGTCTTCATGGTATTTAGGGAGCCATTTGGGGAACTGTCTCAAAGGCACTTGCTCTCTTCCTGCCACAACCAGTTCAGTCGCCAGGGGAATATCTTGGAGTTAGTAGAAACTAAATCTGCTCAACTGAGAGGATATGTCCCCACTTCTCGCTTCATTTCTCCATAACCTCATATAACAATTTTTTGGGGGGGGCCCATTCTGTGCCAGGTACCATGCTGACTGCTGGGACTACAACAGCAAACAAAACCAACAAGGTCCCAGCTCTCACAGAAGTCAACCTAGTGACTGGCATTTCCAAGAAAAAGGCATTTCCAGGGAAGCATAGGGCATAGCGCTGTGGACCACATAGCTGGAGCCCCCACACAGTGACAAGGAGAGGCTTCTAGAGAATCCAGAGACTCAGGATTGAGATCTAAAGCCTTCTTAGGAGTGAGCTCATGAAAGAGAGAAGGGAAGTAGAGGTTAATAGGCAGAGGAAAGGAGCCAAGGTGAGAGAGTCTGTAGCCCATGGGAGCAGCTGAAACAAGTTCTATTTTACTAAGGATCCACTAGATTTAGGGGGTGAAGGACAACGCTGGGCAGTGAGCAGGACCAGGTCATGCAGGACCTTGTCTGCCTTGTTAGGAAGTTGACAGTAGGCAGCGGGAACCCACTTAAAGGTTTCAAGCAGAGCTGTGATGTTATCAATGTGCATTTTAGAAAAATTCTGGCTGCAGAAGGAAGAATAGAATGGAGAGGAACAAGAATGGAGATACAGAAACCAATTTAGAGGTTTTTTTCTGTAGTCCTCACGAGAGATGACAGTGACGTGACTCTAGGCTATTGGCAATGGGAATGGAGAGAAGTGAGTGGATTCCAGTAATATTTTAAAAGGAAAGAGAATTGACAGAACTCAAGGCCTGAGTGGAAGAGAAGGGTGACATTTGGAACAACTCTTGGGTTTCTGGCTTGAGTAACTGAGAGCATAGTGGCAACACACTGAGATAGAGAACACAGGAGGTAAAGAAAGTTTGGGAACAGGAATGGAAATAGAGGCAGAATGGTGGGTTAAATCTGGGACATTTTGAGTTTGAGCAGCTTGACAGACATACACCTAGGTGGTGGGATCCAACACTGCAATCTGAGCTGGAGCTCTAGTTGTGATTCATTTACACAGACATGGTGGCTGAACCACGGAGGTGTGTGAGATTGTTGAAGGAAAGTGCATCAAGTCAGAAGGCCAGGACAAAACCCTGGAAAACAACCACATTAAAAGGAGGGATAGAGGAAGACGAGCTTGCAGAGAAGGAGAAAAAGCAACCAGAGAGTAGAAGGGAAACCAGGAGAGTATAATTATCGTGAAAACTAAGAGAAGAAAATGCCTCATATGGACCACACTGCTGTGCCATCAAGCAAATTAGAGACTGAGAAGCAGCCATAGAACTTAGCAATGAGGGGGCTATAAGAGACCATGGAGAGAAAGCGTAAATGGAGTGATGGAAGCAGAAGCCTGATGAGAATGGCTTGAAGAGTGAATGGAAAGCAAGAAGTTGGGGCAGTGAGTAAAGTAAACTCCGCAAGTTTGACTGTGAATTAGCAGTTGGTATAGACTAATAGAAATGGAAACTAGACATGTGGTGGGGACTATTTAATAATTGCGTCCAAAGATGAAAGAAACTTGAACATGTCTCAGTGCTGATGAAAGGAGCCATTTACATTAGAGGCAGAGGTCTGACTCCATCAGAACCTTGTCTCTAAGAAAGAAAGCAGAAGGGTTACAAGTTCACTATGAGGGATCGTCTGAAACCCAAGTACACACTGTAAGGGATAGTCTTAAACCAGGGAAGGACACCTCCTCTGCCGTAATAGGAAAGATGGCTGGTTGTCAATACAGGTACGTTTCTGTTTTGGTGGCTGAAGGAAGACAAATCTGATAGCTTCTCCTTTCTCTTTGAAGGTGGAAAAGAGGTCATCTGCTGAGGGAGAGAGGCAGAGTTGGAGGAGGGGAGATATACTATCAAAACGAAAAAGATAACCACTTGAACCGGAATTTTATTGTGTCACCAACCTGGTTTTCTTTCTTTTTCCTTTTTCTTGATAGAATTCAGCAGCCAGGTGTGTAAAAAGCAGACAGTGCCGAGTGGCATATTGCTTAAGAGCTGGCTTGGGACGCCAGAGGGCCCCAGTTCGGATCCCACATATGAGGGCCAGTGACGCTGCCCTCCACAGCTAAGATGCTGAACAGCAGCTCAACCTGGAGCTGGGCTGCCGTGAGTCGCCGGCGATGGTGTAGGCTGCAGCCCCGGCTGCAGTGGGTTGCCATGGGCTACCATGTGCGGCCAGCAGCCAGCGGCCAGCAGCTGCAGTGAGCGGCTGTCCAGAAGCCGGTGACTGATCTGCCTCGCCTGGGAAGAGCGCAATGATGGTGCCAACTTGGGCCAGTGAAGCAACGTCCTCCACAACTAGACTGAAGAACAAAAAGACAGCAACTTGTCTGTTCCCCTTCCCCCAATTCCCCAGCACTGTTCCCACTCCCCAATTCCCAAATAAAAACCCTTAAAAAAAAGTTAGGGGTCGGGGCCGGCTGAGTGGCTCAGTTGGTTAAGAGCTTGCTCAAGAGTCTGAGCTCTGATCAACAGTGGTTTGAGTCCTGGCCCGAGCTGAGCTGCTGCTGAGCTGCCAACAGGTGGCAGGATGGCTCAGCTTAAAAAAAAAAAAAAAAGTTAGGGGTCTCCGGTTAGCTCAGTTGGTTAGAGTGTGGTGCTGATAACACCAAGGTTGCCAGTTCGATCCCCCATGAACCACTGTGAGCTGTGCCCTTCCTAAAAGAGTCAACTATGCCATTGTAGCATGAAAGCAATGTGTAACCAATGACCATGGCTGTTCCCCAATAAAATTTAAAAAATAAAAGAGAGCCCCATGGTACCCCAAATCCAATTGAACTGAATACATATTTCCCATGTATTCCTAAATTGTACTTCCTTCAAAAGGTGCTTTCAGGAAGAGTCCCAAAATGTTCAACATCTGCTGCTTTTGAGAAGCTCTTCTGTCTTTAAGAAGCTCCATTCTCAACCCTGTGACCAGCTCTTCCTTTAAACCTTCTCACTCCCTTTCTTGTCTGCCCCTCCCTGTGGCCCTTATGTCCCGCTCATCATTATTGATGTACCTGTCAAGCTCCCATCTCTTCCAGGGGAGGAATCTAATGTTCAGAGCACCTACTGTGTATCAGGCACTTTGATTGTTTTCATTGCTGTGGTGTCACTTATATCTCCACAACATAGAGGAGGGGTGATATTATCTTACAGAAGAAGAAGCTAAAGCTAGGAGAACCTAAGGTCACACGGCTACTAAATGACCAAGCGGGGATTAGATCCCAGTCTGTCTGACTCCAAAGCCCATTATTCTATGCCGTAAGCATCCAGGGAACAAGTAATGTTCTGATTCATCTCTATCTGTCTCATGGGAACTCTAACAGCACTTTGCACATAGAAGATGCTTGGTAAATATCATTGATTTGAACTATGGCCTGACTCCCTAAATATTATTAGGGTTCTGGTATTTTAGGGTATGCCCAACTTTCTCTGAAGAAGCCATTCCGCTCTGCTTGGTAAAAGACATGCTCCTTTGGTTTGGCAATGGCACTGTATGTGCTAAGTTTATGATATAGACAGGAAGATGGCAAAACGAAAACCGAGTTTGCATTCCTCCTGTAGATGACTTTTGTAAATTTAATAATCCCATGAAAGGTGTTAACAAGTCATACTGATAGTGTCAACAAAGAAACCACCCAACAGAATCTCCCATGTAATCACCATAAGAGATTAACAGAAGCACGACCATTCTCTTTTCATTTTTCAGGAATATAACATGTATGGCTGGTGGGTAGGAGAACTGAACAGCCTCATTGGGATTGTTCCAAAGGAGTATCTCGCCACTGCCTTTGAAGTGGAAGAAAGATGAAGACCAGGTATCAGAACTACTGCCAGTGCATTTGTTGGCCATGCCTTTGTTTCTCTGTGAAGGATGAGAGAGGCCAGTGAAGTAGCTTTTCTTCATTTCCCAAAGTGAAGCTAATGATTCACCACTGAAAGATGAGTCTGGAATTGTTTTTCCTAAATTGGGGGGGACTGACTCAGTTAGGATTAGTTTCAACTACATGTGACAGAAAACTCAAAATAGCAGTGATTTAATTAGGAATTTATTTTTCTTTTCTGTAAAAATCTGGATACAAGGTATCCAGGTCCCAGGTATCTTCTCTTTTTGCTCCACTGTGTGTGGCCAACATTCCTAAGGTTATTTCATGGCCCAAGATAGACATTCTAGCTCCAGCTCTCACAGCTGTATCCTACCCAGCAGGAAAGAAAAAATGAAAGGAGACGGGCACACCCTCTCCTTTCAAGGACACTTCACAGATGTTGCACATGCCTCTTCTGCTTATATGCCTTTGGCCAGAACTTGGACATACAGACAGACACACCAACCTGCAAAGAAAGTTCTAGGTAGAACCTGTGTCCAGCTCAAAAGTGGAGGGGGGGGGAGTTCGTTAGTAAACAATAATGGGAGAATGGATATTGGGGGACAACTAGGAATTTTTGCCACAAGCATGGGTCTGGGTTTGTGTATCCCCAGGACTCAAATTCAGGGCACCATTTCCCTCAAATGGCATGTATTACAATATGATTGGCCAAGATTAGGAACCCAGTATGAGGATTCCTATGGAACATAATCAAATTAACTTAGGTAATAAAGAATAATTAACTTAGGTAATAAAGAATATGGCTTGCATTTTATGAGCAAGAACTGCATCATCTTTTAAAACAGTGGAGTGAGTGCTTGCCTTGGGTGGGATAACTTTGCAGTTGCTTTGGCACAGAGTGGGTTTTGCTGAGAACGAGGATGGTGATGGAGGGCACCCAAGGCTAACATGATGTCGCAAGCTCCATCTTCCGGCCTGAAATGGGAGCAGACTTCATTGCTGGGGGTGAAGGATGACATGTGACAGTGATACCAACTGTCCTTGGAATCTTCCAGACCAGGGCCCACTCTAGTGTGCAGCTCAGTGGATTCATTTAGGAAAATACACAAAGGATAGCTCTCACTTTCCCATGCTCTTGTACAACCATAAAGCACCAGCTTGGGCCTGTCACTCAAGGTTTGATTTTATGACTTTCCTGACAAACACTCCCATTTCCTGGCCATGAATGTAGAAGGGTTGGAATTTTTCTGTCAAATCTAAACAAACAGATTCACCCGACTTCACTTTGTCATTTATTTAATGACAGAATTGCTTATCTCCTCATTCTCTTTGACCCAACAATTCCACATCTAGGAGTTTATCCTACAGCTACACTTGCACACAGGCAAAATGATACACACACAGGTTGTTTGTAATAGCAAACCATTGGAAATGGCCTAAATGTTGAACAGAGCCCTAGCCAAATAACTGTAATACTTTCATAGACTTGAATACGATGTAACAGGAAAAAAGAAAAGGCAGCTCTGCACTGATATGCAATACATTCTGGGAGATGTTGGTAAGTAAGAAAACAAAATAGGCAGCAAAGAAGGATAGGCCTAATTTGCTCCATTTGTGTAAAAAGGGAATCTCCAATTGCATATATATATATATATATATATATATATATATATATATATATATATATATATATATATATATATGATGAGATATCTCTGGAAAGAGAAAGAAAATGCTAACACTGGTTACCTCCAAGGACAGAAGCTGTGTGACTGTGAGACAGGGTAGAAGGGAGACACTTTACTCTATGCCCTTTTATACCTTCTATATTTCGAATCATAAAAGCAAATTTATATATTTTTCCTCCTCTAGGACACATATCCTTCTCTCTGTCCTGCCTTTATGAAGAAACTGAGCATCGAGACCTCCCACTCCCTACCCCTGCCACCCCACCAACACCACGGACTCTTCTCTTCACTGAAGAGACCCCAGTCTCCGACACCTTGTAGTAACTGAACCACCAATAAGACAAGTGGGAAGAGGCGTATCCAGCTGACCTGTTGCTAAACCTGCATTGCCTTAGCTCACCCCATCTCTAAACATGTCCACACAGCCACTTCTGCCCTTTCCACAGGCTTGTCACAGAGAAGGCGAGAGAGAAGGAAACTTTTGGAGGAGGAAGCTGCTGGTTGTTTGGGATGATTTGAAAAGCACAAATAAACTTCAGACTTGGTTCCTTGCCATGTGTGATGGTGTTGAGTTTCTTTTTGTAATGGTGTCAAAAATGCCAATTCTGGGCATTCTTGCCACCTCCAAACAAAGTGGGAAGGCACCGCCAGAGAGGAAACAGAAGCCCAGAGAGAGAAGGGGGCTTGAAACTGTCTTTCAGGGTAGGATCATCCCTGGAACCTAGGCCTGGCTGGGTATGACCTGGCACCTCAGACTTCCTTTGGCTGCCTCCTTGGTGGTTTTTTCTTACAGGCTGAATCACTCTGAAGTGAGACAGGGCTGGAAGCAAGTCCTTGGAGTCAGCACATTGGAGAGTTCCTTTTCGGCCTCGGTTAACTACCCCTCTGTGTCCTGCACCCCTAGATAGGGGCCAAGGGAGTGCTTTGAGGAGGGCTTGCGTGTACACAGCCCTGTTTCCTCTTCCTGTTGCCTATGCCTAGCACTTAGGTCACCTGTGTCTTGCAGAGGCAGCAAAACATAGCGGTTAAGAACATAAACTCGGGAACCAAACAGCCTGGAAATAAGCCCCAGGTCCCCTTTTACTCCATGTGTTCTGTGGAGCAAGTTACTTGACCTTTTATGTTTCTATTTTCTCACCTTAGAAGAGGCATACTCCATCTCACCGCGTCATTAGGGAGATGAAAGGACAAGAATGAGCAATGGACTTAGGAAAATGCCTGGTACATAGTAACTGCTCAATAAGGATTACCTATTAGTATTGTCTGACGTTCTACATGAGAAATTTTGAAAACTGAGCAGCTACAGAAATTGCCTATTGCCTGTTCAGAGCAGTCCGGGATTGGTAGTAGCCTTCCTCACCTCTGTAACGACCATATTATAGCCCTGCAGTAAGACACCCATTTCACATCACCAAGGGAGAAACCAGGGAGCAAAAGATTCTCTGCCAGCTATTCATTTCCAGGCTTCCTGACCCAGGAATAAAAAACAAGGAAGATTTTTATGTATGTAATGGATAAAGAGGTAAGAGAAGGGGACAATTTAAGACTGGGAGGGAAAAAAAAAGAGGTAAAAGGCAATACAGAACTGTCCATAATGGCCCCTCCGTTGTACACAGGGTGCTAGAGGAAAAGGAACCACTAGGTGGCAGCATATGAGCAGATGAACCAAAGAGAACCAATTGCCTCCAGCTTTAGGAACCTTTGCACCAATCCCAACCTACAGGTAAGGACAATGGGCATTGTTCTAATAATGTTTAACTGAGGGAACAAACAGTAACCCCTCTATCCCTCCATGGAGAACCCCCCCAGGGACCAAAGTCTAGAAGACTGGGAGGCTAAGAGGAGAGAATAGCATTGTGCCACTGCTCTGTGACTGAATGAGTGGCGCACCAGAGAGGAAGAACCGGTGTCTGCGACAGGGTCAGAAGGGAGATGAAAAGGGGACAAGTCCAGGTAACTAGTCTGCACAGTTTAAGGCTCTCTCAGTAGCATGGCCATTGGCTTTCAACATTTTAAACAAAATCCCGGTAGTGCAATAGTCCCTTCTGTACCTGTTGACCTGAGGACAACAACCATTTCCCCTGCTGCAAGGGTCTTGCAGCACCTCCATCGACCACAGGGTAGGCACCACACTCAGACCTCTGATTCTTCTAGTTGTGAAACTCAGTGGAAAAAGACATTAGACCGGCCCTAAAAGATATCAACAGATGGACTGATTGGAAATCTGGTCCATAGCCATCTGGCCATCTCTGACATTGTCACATGCAGGAAAAGACAGAGCAAGTTCGATGGGTTGATGAGACTATTTACAGGGCTGGAGGGCATTCTCTGTTAGGGGAAAGTTCGAAAGGAGACCTTTGGGAATCAGCGGATTCCTACAGTCTTTCTGGAGATCAGCCTCCCGAGCAAAACTGCTCCCAACTCAATTATAATTGACAGCCACCATCTTTCCAGCAGCCTCAGAAGGCAACTGGCTAATCAGATTACCACTTCTCTTTGTGACTTCACTAACCAAATCCCCACCTTACTGCCTGTGACTAACTGGATAACTGGGGCATTAGACAACTAACCACATTGTATGTAAAATGGGTTCTTAATAGCCACTAATTGCTCTGTCCTGTGAAATAGGAGAGGGTTAGAGGTGGGAGGCACTTTTGCTTCCTTGCTTTTAGGTAAAGGAGGGAAAAGAAGAAAGCTCAGGTCCTAAATTTAAAAAGCAAATGTATAGCTGCCTTTTACAGATGAATCATTTACACAGAACCTACATCCACTGGATACTCTGACCTGGGACTGGTACGGTTTGGTCTATATTGTCCACACTAATATCTGAGAATACTAAATGTTCTGAAAGCTACATTTCATTAAAAATACATTTTTTCTAGTGTGTTTTCTCTGTCATCCATATCACGAAATAGCACAGACATTGTTTTGCAGTTACCTCAATATTAAATTTCCCCACACGATGGCCTATTATATCTCTTAGAAATCTGTATTTAATTCAAAACCCACTACATCTTTCCCTCTGGTGCATAAAAATGGGAAAGAGAATTTTCCCATTAAGTCTCATTCCCTAAACTCAGTTTGATTCCATTTAAAGTGAGAGCAACGACAAAAGGTGGGGGAGACTAGATGCCCTCCCTCCTGTTTGAGACAGATGCTTTATCTAAACAGAGTATGTAAGGAATAGACTAGATTTCAAGTTATTATTAACTTTTTTTTTTTAGCACTTTAGCTTGCTCAGTTGAACCACCTTATTTGTAATCAGTTAGTCTTTCCAAGTGGCAAAACTGAGGATCTGAAAGGTGGTGACTTAGACAAAAATCACACAGAATCTGCTGTGGAAGAGGAAATGAAAGACCTGAAAGGAAAGATTCTTGAAATTCTCAGTCTGCTGCTTTGCTTATTGAATCACTCACGTTCTATTGCCGTTAGACACCTCCAATGACACATTTTCAAAATCTGTATTTCATGCCAGTCACTTGCGCACAATAAAGCAGTGCTGTCAATGCAAAGAACAAGATGGGGGAGAGGGGACAGACTCCTGCTTTTAAAAACCAATCTGAGAAAGATGGAGTTGAAGCAAAGAAAGAAAAGTATGTATGTTCCTTTCTCCCCCACCCCCATCTTTAGGAACAAAACTCTCAGATGGCAGGGACAGAGATGCTTTAATCTTTAGCCAAAAAAAAAAAAAAAAATCCCTCCCCGCAGGTCTCCCCACCAGGAGTGGCTCTGAAAGGATAAATCCTGAGTGGCACTGATTTGCTAATTCCCAGAGCACCAGCAAAATCGGTGGAGCTGACTTTAGAAAAAGCAGCCGTCTACACAGAGGATTATCCCTGCTACACAGCCCAGTGACTCAAGCTAATTTTCTAGTTTGTGGATTACCATAGTCCCTTGCTCCTCCCCTCCCCTCCTGCCCAGCCATTTCATTTCCCATTAGAATTTACAGAGATTGGGTAGGGAGTTTGAAACTTACAACTAAAAAGAGATTTTTCTTCTTCAAGGGATTTGAATTATTCTCCCTATTTCCCTATCAATAACTGTTGAGAAAACATGCTGGGGTTTTTTGTTTTGTTTTGTTTTGGGTTAGTATAAATCAATGACCATTCTTTTGCAACTCTTTGGGATTCAATTAATAATACATTTTAAAATGTAGCCTATTTGTACAAAAATATTTTATAAATATAACCCACCCCCTACAAATAAAGCTATTGTATTAGAGGAAACGGAGGTATAATTAATAGGATGACCATGTAATTTATTTTCCAAATAGACACACTTTTGAGACTGAAAGGGGGAGTTATTAATAATGACTCCAAGACCACACCGGGATGAGTGGTCAACCCCAAAATAAGGCAAAATGAGTTGCCCAGTCAAGGGAGTGGGCTGTAGATAGATTACCCGGCTTTCCTGGTATGATGCTTGGCAATGTCCCTTCTAATGAAGTCCTCTCCCTTGCAAGCCTGTTTCCTAGGCAAACCCTGCCAACTAGGCTTTCTTTTCCTGATGCCCAGCCTGTTCTGAGAGGTCTGGTGTCTCTGGCATCATGCTGCTTGTGACGCTGGCCAGCTGACAGCAGCTGTGTGTGTTCTGTTCCCTCATGGGGCCCCATCACAACCCGCCACCCCTCCACCTGGCAGAGTGCCACAGAGGGAAGCATTTTGTGGCAGTGGGCAATAGTATGCCACTTCCTTGCCTCCTGTGATTGGGAGTAAGTTCCAAGAGGCTTCTAGTGCTGGTCCTCAAAGAGGGCATCTGGTTCCATTGCAGACGCTCTTACCCTGATGGTGAGCAGCTGGCCACCTTTTACGCCCCCACATCCAATCATGGAACACAGAACAGGCTACAAACTCTTCCCTTTGCCCCACGGTCAGATATGGCGCCCAGCATGGCTCTGCCTTGACTCACCAAGGTGGCACATGTACACCACCTACATGTACTGGGCCTGTCACTAACGTAGTCCATCTCTGGGAAAGCGCCTGGCCACTGGGGATTGGACGTCATTTCTTCAACATCTCCAAGGCAGTGCAGTGGAAGTTTGGTTGGGAGGCTGAACTTGGAGCTTTATTACTTCATTCTGTGAGTGCAGGGTTTCTCAGCCTGGCATGATTGACATTTTGGGCCAGAGCATTTTATGTTGGGGGCACTGTAGGCTGTTCAGCAGCATACCTGGTCTCTACACATTAGGTGCCAATAGTATACCCCCTCCCCAGTTCTGACAACCAAAAATGTCTCCAGACATTGCGAAATGTCCCCTGGGAACAAAATCACGCCAGGCTGAAAGCCACTGTACTAAGGCACTTGGGTGTGCTTAGGACCAAGCACAGGGAAACTGCCCTGCCTTCCAGAAGTTTTGCTGTAGTGACAGGGAGAAGCTTACAGCTAGGTTGGGAGACATAAAGTGTAAATGTCATGAATTCCTCAGGGTTTAAGAGCCAGCTAGCCAGCCCCTCTGCTCCACTAGCACCTTTGACATTTGCTCCCTGGCCCTGCGGCAGATTTGCAGTACAGCAATGATGTTTTCGAAGGAATAAGCCCATACTTGCCCATTCAGAGAGCTGCATTACAGCAAGTCTCTCGTGTCTACAGCTCTGTGGTTTGTTACTGTCCCTATTTCCCGTTTCAGTGGCAGAAACCCCTGAAACTCTTCATCAGGACCGAGAGAACTGCTGTGTACTATTTCAGAGCACAGGTTCATGGAAACAGTGCAGAAGACGGCTGCAGCTGAAAGGCGGCTGCGCTGGTTCCCTCCGCTTTGCACTGGTTGGGCTGCTGCAGTGCTCGCTGCAGTCAGTACCCAGGCAGAGGTGGGGAGTCACGACAGATTGGCATCTCGCAGCTGAGATTTTCCTGGTCCTGCATGTTAGTGTAGGGTAAGTTTCCTCCTACAAAATGACTCCCAGGAGCTCTGTAAAGAACCAAAAAAATAAAACACAACCCAAACCTTTGCCTTCTCAGGAGGCCGAGATAGGAAGACGGGTCCGGTGCCTTTGTTGTCTTTGCCTGCATAGGCCAGACAGGAGGGCCATCGCTGGCCCCAGTGCCAGCCAGAGCCCTGTCGATGCTGCCTCCCACGGGCCCTGAATCTGAGGCACCTGGAAGGGTTATTAGCAGGATTGGAACTCATCCCTCTGCTGGGACTAGATCATAATTACAGTAATTTTCTAACAGAGCTCGGCAGTAGGACTGTTTAATCAGCATCTGACTCCCTTGTGCTCCCAGCCCTCATCACTCAAGGAGAGGAGTGGGATGGCTCTTAAAGAGACAGTGCCCGCCTTTCAGCATTTGGAACAGATGTGCCCTAATTGGTAGAATATATCTAAGTCTCGTAGCTTAGAGCAGGCAGGTTGCAAGGCTTCCAACAAACCGCCTCAGGCTCTCACTATTCTGGGCCTTCTGCTGGAGGAATTCGGGTCAGGCTGCTAGTGGGCCTAGCTTCCCACACCAACATGGCCACTGGGGAAGGGACACACACACAGGAACAGCGCACTCGTGGAAGGCTCTAAACTAACTGCCCCTTCGAAACAGATGGATGGTATGAAGGAAAAAGTGCTTGGTTGAAGGACACGAAGGAGGGACTCGACAGCCAGATAAGAAACTGTGGCTGGTGGTTTCCCATAATCCAACAATTACAGAATGTATCTCATGTTCCTGCCCTTGGAGGGGCGGGGGGAACACCTTAAAGTCTTTCCGTGTAATTCTCACACTCCAGCGTTATGATCTCTCCCTCCTTGTTATCTTGTTATGCAGCCCTTCACTGTTGTGTAAGCACCCCTTGTTTTTTCCCTCCTTTGCTTACAGAAATCTCCCCTGAATGGAAGACACGTAAAATTATTCACTCTGCTCCTTGAGTCAGGAGCACTGTCTCCTAAGAAGCGTGGCTTTTGTTACGCTTTTGAGCATAAATTGTCCATGTTTATTGTATCTTGAGAGTTCAAGTTCCAGCGTTCCAGCTCTAAATCCAGCCATGACTAAGGTGGAACTGATTTTTCCCCAAGAAGTCATTTCTCTAATAAGATGCAAGGACTGGTTCCTGCTGCCCTGTTGGTAAGCCAGATACATACTTGGTCTTCGTAGCAGTTCCCAAAACAGTTCCTTAGACAAGCTGGGGCAGGGAGTAGATGGAGATAAGAGGTGGGTGGGGTCTTCCAAAGTAGTTAAGGAAACCCTCAGGAAAGAAGGTACAGTGGTAAGGACAATAGGAAGGGGGACACTCATCCAGAGTTCAAAGAAAGGTTACCTTGAGCCAGCAATGTGCCCTCTACAGAGCTGAGACTCTGCTGGCAGGGAGCCGCCCGGGAGGGGTGGCTTAGGATCAGTGCCCAGGCTTGACTGAGGAAGTTACTATCTCACACTACAGTGGTTATCTGCTTGGCTTTCCCTGTGTCTCAGCTGGCTGCCCGCACATAAATCTGCAGATGCCACTCCGGCCCGACTGAGTGCTCCTGCGGCCTCTGTGAGGCAGGCCAGGAGCTGGTCTGTTTCCATTTCTATCTCCAACCCCACCTCGCATCCTCCCGGCCCACTGTCCTCCCCTCCCCTAGATGAAAAGAATATTCACTAAGAGCTGAGGCATCTAAACAAATTCACAAAGGAGATAACTTAATGTCCAATCAGATTGTTAAAAACTCATGATCACCTCCCAAGCAAAGGCCCCAGCAGTCAGAAAACTGAGGACTACGAAGGAGCTCTGGTTTCTGAGAACTGAAAAGCAGGGGGACTTTTTTTTTTTCCCCCTGGAGTAGTGGTGGGTTTATTTCAGCTTTCTAAAAAGTTTTTCTGGGGGAAAACAAACACTTGTGGTACAGAGCTTGGAAAGGACCTCACCCACAAATATATTCCACTATCATCTAAAAACTGTTTTTTAAAAACCATGGTCAGCTCAGTTTCCTCAGCTAGAAAATGAGTGTAATACTTGCCCTGCCCTCCTCAGTGAGCACTGAGGTCAAATAAAATGATGCATATGAAACTCAGGGTTTTCATACAAGAAAACTTACCCCCACCCCAACACACACACACTTCCTTCCACCAAACAAAAAGAAACCCACGAGCTTGGATCGAGCTTGGGATCGCTTATCTTGAGTAACAGGAAATGAGACTTGGGCAATGGAAGTTGCTGTCAGAAGAAAGGTGACTAAATCAGGCACAGAACCTACCTCCAACCTAACTTCTAACAAAAAATATTTTCCTTCTACAGGACAGCTCGGTAGGCCACTGACAAGTCATCAGCCATGACGGCTAGCCGTTAGTACACACAGGAATAGGGCACATGCGAGAGGCAAATGGCACTGCCTGGACAGAGAGGGAAAGCCATCTTTGCTGTTTCTCTGCTAACTCCAGGCCTGTAATATTAGAAAAAAGTCTTCCCTTCTTAGGACACCTCCTTCCATGGCCTGCACTCAACCCTGCACAGGACAGTGATGGGATGGTGCCTGGCCTTGGATTAGCTGAGGTGCTGTTATATGCACTGCTGTTAATGGATCATTAAAAAAACTGGGAGTCAGAAAAATCGCATCCGTGTCTTTGCACGGCTCCTGCTGTCCCAGCAGCCTACCCTGCTGGCAGAACTAGCTGCTGAGCACCAACTCCAGCAAGAAAAGGAGTGAACAGAAGAAGGCCAACCCAGCTTGCTGTTTTTTGGCTGAGTAGGGAATTGACACAGACCACCTCCGGCTCCTGTCTGGAAGTTTCGAGATCAGAGAGCTTCAGGCACAGCTGGGTTCACAGCTGCACCATTTGGAGCATTGGACTCATTAATATTCATGAGTCATCCCCACCAATCGGCAGAGCGGATGCCATTAGCTTAGCATCTGTCAGGTTTTTGTGAGGATTGTGTATGGAGTTTTTTTCCCCTTTTAAATGAACTTCTTTTGACATTTTGGATTTGCCTCTGTGGGTTTTCTATCCTCGCCTTGCTCTGCTGCATCATATAAAGGAGAGACTCAGGGGAGGCGGGCAGAAGAGGGATGAGTCCCAGCCAGGGCTTTGCATCTGCCTGTTGACAAACTTTATTTCTCTTTCGGCACCTGGCACCTCAGGCAGGCTGCAAGGATGGAAGCAGCATCAGGTAAATTATACCTAACAAGGTTCATGCCCATAACTGTGAGAAGAGCTGGCTCTTTGGAAGACAGTCCTTCCTCCAGTGGTGAACTTGAACTGCACACACAACGCAGGAGAGCTGCAGTGCATGGTTCTGAACCATTATTTCCACGCTGATAAATTCATGATTTATGAAAGTAACTACTGCCAGCCCTCACTCCCTCCTTCTCTGCTACAGCTTGTTAGACACAAATTGCAACAACAGTCTTAAATAGTTGAATTTTATTTCAGGCCAAAGCCCCTCAACTCCAAACTAAATGCCATGACAGTCCCACAGCATAGGCTGGTAAGTACAAGAGCCCACAGACAGGGTGGGACGGCCAGAGGAGGGAGAGTGGGCAAGAGGAACTGCGCACGAACCGACGGGCAGCGTGATGCAGATGCCAGCAGCACTCATGTCCTACCAGCTCGGGCTCTCAGTGGAGAGGAATGATGGCAGCAGGAGGGCAGACTGCCTCATTGTCTGAAGGGAGGCGTGTTGTTCCTCATCTCCATCCCCAGAGTCCTCTCTCCAGGCAGAAACAAAGCCCTTGCGCCCCACTGGACTGAACATACGGCCTCTCTGCAACACAGCAGAGGGACATGTGGCGGCTAAAGCCCTGGGGGGCAGGGAGCTCTTACTAAGGGAGAAGAAAAGGATTCAAAAAAGAAAGGAGCCTGCGAAAAAGATGGTCACGTCTCCGCTTTGGAACCAGAAGAGACGGTGACAGCCCAGGACAGCCTTTACCAAAACAAAGCTCCCTGAGCCGTTGCCTTTCCTCTGCCTGTGAACAACCACTTCCCTTTTGTGGAGGGCCATGAGCAATAGGCTCCACACGGCCAGGCTGAGGTCTTCGGATATGCAGGGAACCCCAGTGACAGGAGTCACAGCGCTGACCCATTCAGTGGTATTAGTGAAGGAAAAGCAAGGAATTGAGGAAAATAAATATTCACCACCCTGTCCATACCAGGAGGCAGGCAAGAGGCCAGCCTCCCAGAAACAAAGTGCTCCATGGCCTGCAGCAAAAACAGCGCCAGTGGGAATACAACGACACAAGCATTTTTCTTGGGACAATATTCAATATGGCAGCTTAAAATCCACCACTTACAGGTCCCCAAAACCAGTCACCTAAGGCAGGGCCCCCAGGCCCATTAACGAACATCTAAAGAAACTCAGCTCCCAAGAGAGTAAATGTGGGATTCTGTTCAAAACCAACAGCCCCTGGTCCTTACGCTTAACTTACAAACATCTGCAGTGTTTATTCCTATGGAGGAAGCTTGAGGAGTTGTCATAACCCACCTCTGTGCAAACAGCTCGAGCAGAGGCAACTGAAAGACACTAAGCAGCCCAACCGCCCCAACACCTGCCCTGTGCCCAAGTAAGTCTCCTTGCCTGCATCTTCTCCACTGGCCTCGAAGCAGAACCCAAAGCTCAGACCAAAGTTCACTTTTCCAAAGCTGTTTCTAAATGACCAGGATCCAAAGGCACAGCATGGTCCCCGCCCACGGACCTCCTCACAAGCTGAGGAACAGCGGATCCCTCGTCAGGTCTTGCACAATCACAGCATGATGACGAGGCAGGGGGTGAGAGAGGAGGGCTTTCCAAAGAAGGAGCCTCTGAGTCAACAACAGGAGCCCACACCTCCAAACGGTCCTGTTCTTCCTCAGGAGGAGGTGAGGGAGAGCCCCTCCTGCCCGATCTTGGAAGAAAGCAGCAACTGGAAGAGTGGGAAAGGGAGAAAAAGAAGGAACAGATAAACAAAATGCATGGATAAACACAAGGGAACAGACAAACAAAAAGGCGGTGTTATCAATGCAAATGGATTGTTCTTCAGCCATAAGAAGGAATGGACTACTGATGCTACAACATGGATGAACCTTGAAAACATGCTAAGTGAAAGAAGCCAGTCACAAAAGACCATGTTGTCTTATGGCTCTTTTTTGTGTGAAATGTCCAGAATTGGCAAATCCACAGACACAGAAAGTAGACTAGTGGTTGCCAGGGGCTAGGGCTTGGGAAAAATGAGGACTCCATCATGGTAATGGATACAAGGTTTCTTTTGGGGTGATGAAAATGTTCTAAAGTTGACTGCGGTGATTAATGGTTGCACAACTTTGTAAATAAACTAAAAACTACTGAATTGTACACTAAAAGGGTGAATTTTATGGGATGTGAATTAGATCTCAATAAAGTTATTTTTCAAAATGGGTGGGGCGGAAGGGACAGAACAAATAAGAAAGACTTCTCTTCTTTCTCCCCAGGTTTCAATAAGAGAGAGAGCCTGCCACCCAGGGATGGAGTAACACAAATCCACAGACCCTTGTGCATGGGATGAGAGCGCCACGAACAGGGGGAACGAGGCCTCTTATGAAAAGCTACCAACACTGTGACTTTACTTTCTCTATCAAATGGATACCTCCTTGGCCCAGGTTACAGTAATCCGAGCCCCTAGTGTCTCAAAAAAGAGAGCTTCAGTTACCTCTTGGGCTGGTCTCCTTTAGCCAAGTGAGAAGAGCCCTGCCTCTCTTCCTGGACCCAGCCACAGTTTGACATAGCATAGCGAAGAATGGCATCAGAAACGGTCATGGAGCTTCGGCCCTGGACACAGGCTTCTATCTCGGGCACCGAGAGCTGGCTTTGCAGGAAGAGGTGTAACTGGCTGTCTGATAGGAGGACAACACTTTGCAGGACCCTGGGACAAACACCGGGAGGACAACACAGAGTATCACCCTGAGGATTTGCCCTCCCCGCCCCATCCTCTGCAGCGCTCTGGCTTGAGTAGTATGAGGGTACAAGAAAGGCATCAACCCCAAATGCACCTGTATATTCAATTGGGCCATCATGGCTGGAACCTTCCCCCCTCTCTGTCCTCAACCCAGGAAGCAGGTGCAAGCCTGCCATGTCCACTCACTTTTCCAGGAAGTGCTGCAAACCTTGTCGTCGCTTCTCAATGAACTCATCTGAGCTGCCAAAGAAGGTTGACTTCCCAGGAAGTTCAGGTACAGGCCTATGGGGTCACATAGTAACATCCAAGACAGTCATTTCAGCCCCTAATTAAGGAAATCCCCTAAAATGAGCCCCAAATCACAATAACTTTTAATAAGTTGGTGGGAGTGGGGGTTAACACTAACTACATGCCATGTATCAGGCACTATGCTAAATGTTTTACAAACCTTATTTCATTAATCCTCCCCAAAACCCCGTGAGAAAGATATGAGAATCCCCATTTTAGTACCAAGGAAATAAAATCAGAGAAGTTGAGTAAATTTCCCAGTGCCACACAGCTAGGAAGCAAGCAGCAGAACTGGTATATGAACCAAATCTAGGACTTCAAAACTCCATGCTGCTGTATTACATTGTTTATAAAACCCACTTCCACCATCAACTGTTATTTTAAACAGGAAGAAACTTGGACAGAGAGACATGGAGAATACTGGGCCCTTGTGTGTAAATTAAGTCTACCTATGCCAGTCCGAGAAAGTCGCATGTTTGGAATTTTCTAAAAGTAGCTAAATGGCAGCAAGTCATCCACAAACTCTCTAAACCTCCTTAGCCTCTCTTATGATGAAATGCAGCACATACTTTTAAAAAACAATGGCCAGGGCCGGCCGAGTGGCGCGATGGTTAAGAACTCGCTTGGGANTTAATTTTATTTTTTTAAATATTGCTATAAGATACTCTTTATGTTGATTCCTGAGTTTTTTGTTTGTTTGTTTGCCCCCCCGTTTTAGCTGAGCCATCCTGCCACCTGTTGGCAGCTCAGCTTGTGAATTAAGCCGGGGACCCTACTGCTGAGAGATCAAACTCTTGAACGAGCTCTTAGCCAACTGAGCCACTTGGCTGGCCCATAAAGAAGGTGACTTTTGACTCCCTTAATTCAAGAGTGGTGTAGAGCACCAGGGCCATGATGATTCCCTCTACTTTGAAATATGCACATATGAGCCCAAATTTACTAACAAACTAGATGTCCTAGATCTGAAACTGTCGTCCTATGATGTACAGCTTAAGGAAATGGTCACACTGAGCCTAGAAAGCCAGACCTTAGGGAACATAAAGCTGAATTTCAATACTAGAAGGACAATAGGAAAGAGGAATTTGGGTTTACACAACAGAATTGTATGCAGCTATTGAAGCTAGACCTAGAGGAAATAGGTGACATTTACATGGGGAAGCAGAAGTTCAATATGAGGAACTGGGGATGGCAGCATTTTATGCAGGCAGGAATATGGTTTGGAAGTTAGACAATAACCTCAAATCTTGATACCACCACTCTCCTGCTGGATGTATTGGCCAGGTGATAACAACCTCTGATCTTTTCTGCAAAATGGAAATAGTAATTTCCACCTCCCAGGTGTGTTATGAGGATTAAATAACATTAATCAAAGACTTAACAAAATTCCTGGCACTGGGGGTAAGCACTTAATAACAGTAGCTAATATTATTACAACTAATTCTCTCATCATTAAAGTTATTAAAAACAGAATTGGACACTTCTGGAGGGAGCGAGCAGATGAATTTTTGCCTCTTCATGGACACTCAACCTAACTATCTCAGGAACCATTGCCCTCTTTGTGCTGTCACAGTCCTTTTGGCAAAACTCTATTATGATATTGCTGGGTTGGGTTACTTACATGGCAATTCTCCAGAGCCCTGCACAGTGCCTGGCTTGTAAAACTGTTATATAAATGCAGACCCTGCATTCTGGAGTAGAGTGCAGTACTAATTGCCTTTCTCCTTTCCTTCTGGGTAGGAGGATATTTGAATGTGCAAAGTAAGAAAAAAAAGTCATCTTCCGGTAGTTCTTTTTGGTTCCTGGTTAGATAGGGAAAAGGAGAGTAAGGAAGAGAGTTTTTTAAAAGAATACAAATCTGATGTGAAGAAAAGAGATGAAGAAAAGCTTGATCACCTCCATATTGTCAGGTAGGTGAAATACATCACACTAATTCACTTAATAACTTATTCAACAAATATAGCTTGACTACTGTATACCAGGGACTGTACTGGGCATTGGGGATAGTGATGAACAACACAAGGCAAGGGTTCTGACCTTACCAGAAGACAGGCATTAACTAATGACAATAAAGTGGGGTGAATATTATTATGAGAGGCTGAATTTCCATAGGAACAGTTTTGGGGACAGTAATCTCGCTGAAACAAGAGAACTAAACCACTTGTCTCAAAGAATAACAAGTGTTAAAATAAAAAACAAAGGGAGACCAACCTTGAAACTTCCCTGAGGAGACAAAACCAGTTTAGTCATACAAGCAAAGCTTAATTTAGNTGACAATGGCCTCATCAGCCCCACGTGGTACCTAACTGGCTAAGTCACCAACAGGCCATCTGTCACCAGAGCATTCAGTGACCTTCCTGCGTTGGAATCACTGTTCTAAATTGTCTCCAGTTTTAGGACTTATTTGCGGGTGTAGGTAAGTGAACAATACTTTTTTCCTAAGGTTCTCAGGCTGCTGTGACTCTGGAAAAAGGTCTCTGCACAAAAAAAGAAAAAAAGTCACTATTTTTATATGTCAAACGGACAGGATCACCACCTGTCAAATAAGTCCAAGTGCTGAAAAGTTTCTGATAACCAGTGATAAGCACATTTAAAATGCTGGCAGTACGTTTGTTGAGCCCTAGACTAATACGCATATAAAAAAATATTTTTGATCTTTCTATGGCATTGTTAGGTCAAAATACCGGAAATAAAAACTCTTGTCTTTACGTTTTTGCTGATATGTAAATATAATTTAAGAACACATTTTTCAATTCCCTTAGTGCCTGGCATGTTGCTAAGTTTTCCTCATTGCAAACTCTAGTTCCCAAGTAAGCATCTAAAAAAGCCAGTCTCAGATCTAAAAAGGAAGCAAGAGCCAACTCACACTAAACCAGCGTTTCTCTGTAGCTGCTTTCTCAGCCACACGAACTCACGGTAGCGGCGACGCACACAGGACGTCTTCGCAGTAAAGGCCTTGCTATTGGTCTACAGGAGGAAGTACATGACAAAGGTTCAGTGGAAAAGACCAAGTTCACATGAACTCCCCATCGTCACTCTCACTGAGGACCTAAGCCACCGGGCCACAGTCCTGATCAGAGGCTCCAACCCGAGCAAGGTGCCACCAGGCAGCCTGCAAGCAACTCTCAGGCATAGCCCGAGCTCTCTCTCCTCTCCTCCCTCCTTTTCTTCTGTCTCCAGCCTGTCAAAAACATCCATAAACAGGTTCTGCCTCAGTACTATCCCTCAGCCCTGGAAAGTGTTGGTCCCAATACAGAAGTCTGATGCACTTACATGGAGGAATATCTTATAATCCACATAAGAATTCCAGGAGCCCTCATTCTGCACACGGGGATCCTGAACACGCACAGTGATCACCTCCTGGAGGTAAGAAATGCTCCTTCAGCTTCAGCTCAGCCACGTTGTCAGGCAGCTTTGACAGCACAGGTTGCCAGATTTTCCCAACCAGACAGCACCAACTTTCATTCATTTGTTCATTCAATTCAACAAATATTTATTCACCCACTATGTGTCAGGCACTGTTCTAAAGCACTGGGGGTAGAATACGAACAAGAGACAAAAATCCTTGCCCTCATGAAGCTTACATTCTAGTACATTCTAAGGAATGGAAACGTCAAAATGGAACCTCATTTCCCAGTAATGCGAACCAACAAGTATTACTGTCAGAAGAACACCACCAAGCAATGATATGCATCTTCTCCCCAAATTCCTCAAACTTATACCCACCTGTTCCATGGAGACCACACGCTTACCTCCTGCTCTTGGTTCTCCAACATCCTACACCAAAAGCCCATTGGAAGAAAACATCTGATGTGGGACAAATGACAAGGAAACAATCATGGTTAGTATGGTTCTATTCTTATCACTGTCTACCAGGGCAAAACCCTGAAAAACTTTAACAGACCCCCTGGGGAAATCCAGGTAACTTTTTTTGTTCTTGTGTAAAACTTAAGAGGAAGTAAAAATCCCCCACCACCACCATGACTTCAGTTACAAGCTGAAGGGGGATTTGCCTCCCTTTTCAGACCATGGCCAAGACCTTTAGGCTACCTCTATCCAACCATGTTCGGATCTATGCAATGTTCTCCTCAGGCAGCCAGAACAGGCAGATTTCGGTTGTAAAACCTTTATGCCTGAAGACTGCAGGCAAAGCAGTGTTTTGTGGGCACTGGGCACACACAGCACAGCTTTGCAAGTGAGCCTACCATCGCCCCCTCCCAGCTATCTAGAGACAGCCAAGCTCTCCAAAACACCAATGCCCCTAAGTCTCTCTTTGTCTTGCTAATCATAGGTCAACTCCCCATAGGTAAATCATAGAACTGGAGAGTGCAGGGAACACCTGAGTGGGTTGCCCAGTTTCAACCTTCCCTTATCTAATCCATTCTCCTTCCCTTATCTAATCTGTTCTCTGGAACCTAAGCCAATGGTTCTGATCATTTCCTCACTGGACATGCCATCCGGTTTGTACTTCTGCCCAAGCACCCCACAGCTGCACAGGTCGACTCAGGATGTTTTCCACTCCTTTGTAAAGATTCATTAAAGCCTAAGCCGCTGATTTCCCACAGTGTGGCAGTTACATGTGCAGCCACATTGCCCACTCCGACAAGGGGACCGTGAAGGTTGCAGCACCGGGTTACTCAAGTCCAAAGGGGCCCATGATGTCACCTTCTGTTAAAATACAGCACTAATCTTGTTACTCCTAGAACCACTCCAACAGCATCCAACCTGGCTGCCACCTCCACCCCTTTCTCCTCTCTTAAGAGCACAACAATAAGCTTTAATTTCCCTTTCCAATTTACCTTGAAATGAAAACTGACTTCAGCCAATATGTACTGCCAACAAATGATCCGGGGCTGGCTCCTGGGAAAACAAGACTATCTCTAAGATCTCCCTCTCCTCCCCCCATGCCCATTCACACCCACTCATTCTTATAGTCCCACAATTAATTTTAAACACATTCCCTTATTAGTTCTGCCTTACCGTTAGAAGAGTCTGTAATGAGTTTCCTTCTATTTTATGTTTAGCAAACACAAGGCTAACGTTTCAAGAGAATGGGAACTCATTTACACCACCAAATTAGCAGAGCAAACAGCTTTTCCAATTCTTTTCAGTATACCAGAAGGTCTCTCCACACTGCACTCAGAGGCAAAGCTGCATGGTATATGCCCAAATTGGACTACATCATTGAGCAAACCGAAGGTTTTATGACTGCAATATCATCTTAAACAGTATTCTTGCTGACAATCTGATTTTTCATCTGATGTAGTTGCCACTGCAACGGGGTCCTGAACCGAAAGGTAGGAAATTCCAGTGTCATAACAACCCATGTATAAACTCCCAGATGTAGGCAGTCAAATGGCTGTGGCTCACTGTGAACAATGAACCTCCTCAGGTTTTAAAAAAAAAAATGTTCTCTTCTCTTTTCAGGCATTTGGTAAATTGCCAGCACAGGAGCAGAGAGTTAGATTCTGAAGTGTTTTCACAAAAGTAACGACAGGAAAGGTGATGCCAAGGAAGTCATGGTCATACACAAACTCGGTGGAGCTCACACGATATCCTGTGCCTTGAAAGGTTTGCCGAATTCAGGCCTATAATTTAGTAACTAAATCATCATCACTCTCCTGGGCTCAAGAAGAGTTTTCCGGGCCAGCCGAGTGGCGCGATGGTTAAGAACTGGCTTGGGATGCCAGAGGGCCCCGGTTCGGATCCCACATATGAGGGCCAGTTACACTGCCCTCCAAAAAAAGAAGAGTTTTCCTAGGGCTCTGCACCACTTCCATGTGCAAGTTCCTCTTCTTTCCTTTGGGGCTAATACCACTTAGAAACAAATAGCTATAAACTGGCTTTTAAAAAACTCCTAGGACCTCCCAAGATGCTGTACACTTAAATGTAAATTTAAAGGGCACTAAGAAAGTTTGGGTTATACCTTTCCTTAAAAAAATACTGAAACAAATACAAAAACCTAGACTCCCAGTAATAATTTCTAGCAACTACTATTTTCTATTAGCTTCCTCTCTGTAGATGCCACTCCTCAGAAGGAAATGAAGCTCAGTTCTCTGGAGGGGAAGGAGGAAGTTCTAAACGTTAGGATCTGAGACATGGAGCGGAGTATCATCCAAATAAGGACAAAGTCAGTGATCCTCTCAGCTACTTATGCACCTCAGCGCTAACTCTATTTCTTGGGCCCTTTCAATCACATCTGAAGTTTACTTTCGCCACCAACATCTCCAGGGAGAACCCGGTTGTTTGCTGTTTACAAAGTAGATTCCTTGTAAAGCTTTCCAATGTCGTAAGAATTCAAGGCTTTAGCTCCACCGTTTTCACTCCCATTTAAACTACTTCAAGAGACAGGTTAAAAAACAAATCAAGTCATAAAAATATATTGAGCCACCCAGACTCCCATCCCTTCTTACTCATCCTTGAGCCTTTGGTGCCAGATGGCAACTCAAAAAGCTCTTCTTCCTAAACACCCACAGGTGGTAGAAGCAGCTCCCCCATCTGACCAAGCTCTGTGTGTTCTCAACCAAGCAGCTCTGCTCCATCCTTTTGTCCCTCTGTAACTTAACCATTCCTTCCACTCGGAGGGTAAGTCACAAAGGTGACCACAATCTAACGCAAGAGCCTCCTGTGTCCCCGAAAAATACTTGCCATTTACCGTTTGGGTAAATGTCTCCAAACTCTTTTACTACTGCCACTCCCCCCTCCATTCTTAACGAACTAGGAGCAAAGGACCACATAGTCCTTCTTCTCCTTTGCCTATTAACCTTGGGGAATGGGAAGGAAAGACGCTTTATACTCCTTTATAAATAAAGGAAAAGCCAGATTTCCTTCCATGGATGCCGAGCAAGCACCTGCCTTTATCCCGGGAGGTGAGACAACCCTTAGGATGTCAAGCGAAGTCCCCCACCCCAAGCGCCACTAGTGACGCTAACGTCCGTGGCCCTCACCTCAAAGCAGCATCCACTCCCCGCGGCCCCGCCCACGCTCCTTCACCCGAGAGCAGCACCCACTCTCCACAGCGACACCGCCAGCGCCCTACCATATAGCCAGTCTTGGTTTCTCCTTCCGGGTGAGTGGCCGGTGCCCGGTGCACGACGGGAGACGGCTCCCTACACGCCAATCCCGGGTGCCCAGGACGCCCCGCCCCTGCAGACCCCGACTCTTAGTGGCGATTCCGCTCTCGGGCGGCGCGCTGGATCCAGCCCAGACCCTGGCTTCAGTCGAAACTCGGCACCACTCACTCGCTGCGGCAGTAGACGGACGCCGGTGAGGGGCGACCAAGGGACTATGACGTCCAATCCAGGGCCGCGTCCCGCCCATCGTTGTCAGACCAGCCAATCAGAGGTCAGGGAGCGTCTTTAAAGGTCTGAAAGAGGGCCCTCCGGAGCAGAGAGAGGGGCTTGAAAAGGTTGTCACTGGGATTTCCATTCTGCAAAGCATGGTATTGAGTGTGGAAGGGTCTGGGCAGAAAACGCCCCCGTTCTTTGGAGCCTTGGTAAAGTCTGGACAGAGCCATCAGTTGCACCCCGTAGGTTGCAGTTCCCCAGTTATCAAGAAGACTTCAACTCAGGTTCGTAACCACAGACTATCAGAGCGAAAACTGGACTGGCGGTTCAGCAACACACGTTTCACTCTCCGAAATGAGCCCAAAGAAAGATGGTGCAGCTGGTTTGTAAGAACAATCTGTTGAATATGATGAAGGCTTTTTTTGTGTTGTTGAAATGTCTTTTAACTACCAGTTTAAAGATAATGTTAGCGAAGATAATATCAAGGAGGGGCCCACTGAGTCGGCATTGGTTAAGAGTTGGCTTGGGACGCCAGCTCTGAGCAGCAGGGCCTGGTTCAGATCCCACATGAGGGCCAGTGATGCTGCGCCCTCTTACAGCTAAGATGGGGAACAACAACTTTACATGGAGCTGGGCTGTGAGTTGCAGGGATGGCTAGGCTGCAGCCTCTGCTGTAATGGGCTGCCGGTGCCACGGTGAGTGGCTGGCAGCTGGCGTGAGCGGCCAGCAGCCCCGAGATATGCTGTGAGCCACAGTAAGCGGCTATCCAATGACCGGTGAGCAACTGCCTCACCCAGGAAGAGCGCAATGATAATACCAACTTGGGCCAGTGAAGCGGCATCCTCCATAACTAGACTGAAGAACAAAAGGACAGCAACTTGTCTGTTCCCCTTCCCCGATTCCCCAATGATGTTCCTCTCCCTCAATTCCCCAATAAAATCTTTAAAAAAAAAAAAGATAATATCAAGGAAAAAGTTATCACAAATACAAGCTCTGGGGTTAAGATGACCTAGGTACTAAATCCAGCACTATACTGACCCTGTGGCCTTAAACTGGTCCTAAATCTTTGTAAATCTTAGTTTCTTCTTCTGTAAAGTGGAGATTATTGCACATGCCTCAAAGCAGCTTTTCTCAAACTTGGGCTCAGGATGCCTTTACATTCTTAAAAATGATTAAGGACCCCAAGGAGTTTTTGTTTATGTGGGATATTCGACAAGTTAGAAATTAAAACTGAGAAAACATTTATTTATTAGTTCACCTAAAACAATAATAACCATTACATGTTACGATAATATGTTTTGTGAAATATACACTGAAACAAAAAAAAATTGAATAGAGTCTCATTGTATTGCAATTTTGCAAATCTCTTTAATGTCTGGCTTAATAGAAGACAGCTGAATTCTATTTGCTTCCCCACTCCCTGTTGTACTATGTTATTTTGGTCTAGTAAATGAAGAAAATCCTGTCTCACACAGATACTTTAGCCTTCGGCCATAATTGTGCATATCCTTTTTTGATACTAGCAAAACTTAACAAATGGTCGTTTCTTAAAGGTTAGTTACAATGGGATTCTGAAAACACTTGAAAAATACTGGTTTACTAAGTTATGCAGATCTTCCAGCTATTGATGCATTACATTATGCAATATTAAAAAGTCATTTATTGGGGCCAGCCGAGTGGCTCAGTTGGTTAGGAGCTCGCTCAAGAGTTTGAGCTCTGAGCAACAGCGGTTTGATGCCCGGCCCGAGCTGAGTTGCCGCTGAGCTGCCAAAAGGTGGCAGGATGGCTCAGCTAAAAAAAAAAAAAATCACTTATTAAAACACTGATCTCATCAGTCTTATGAAGCTGCTAATCTCACTTTGGTGTATACTGCATTTTCCAAAATTATCATTTTTGCTTGAAAGCTCAAATTTTATCATCAGTAGAAATACTTTTAGTCATTTTCCTTGAAGTGACAGACTCATTTCATTCAAATATCCAAGTCTGAATAACCATAGTTTTTCTGTCATTCTTTCAAATAAAAATGTTCCATGAAAAAGAGCAGCTAATTCAATTCACACATCTCAAACAATTGCACAACCGTATACTTCAGTAAGCAGCGGAAGGGCTTTATGTACAGCTTCCATTTCATTGCATAGAACTTTTAAAAGATATACCCTATGAAAGAGATTTCATAAGGTTAACAATTTGTACTGCTTCATCCAAGGGATAGCCTTAAGTGAAAGTGGCTTTAAAAAAATTTTTTTTTTAATTTTTTTTTATTGGGGAACTGGGGGACAGGAACAGTGTTGGGGAATTGGGGAAGGGGAACAGCCAACTTGTTGTCCTTCAATCTTAATTGTGGAGGGTGCAGCTAGCTCAGCTCCAAGTCCAGTCGCCATCTGGCCATCTATCAGCAGCTCGTGGCCGCTCAGCTCAAGGTGCTATGTTTAATCTTAGTTGCAGGTGGGCATTGCCCACCATCCCATGGGAGAGTCAAACTGGCAACCTTGTTGTTAGGAGCACATGCTCTCAGGCAGCTCAGCGGCAGCTCAGCTCGGGCACAGTTCACTGGCCCATGTGGGAATTAAACCGGCAACCCTGTTGCTCAGAGCTCGCCTTCTTAACCAATTGAGCCACTCCGCTGGCCCGAAAGTGGCCTTTAGTTCTTATTTTGTATAGGTATGGCAGTGAAGAAGACTCTAGTAAGTTGGTGCCACACTGCCTTGATTCATACAAAGGTGCCAGCAGTTTCACCCACTTGCTTCTGTACCACCAGTAAAAATGTCAACACAATGAAAAAGAGCAAATAATGTCTTTACTTATGAAAATAATTTTGACCATGCAGACTTCCTCAAACCATCTCAGGCACTTTCAGAGTCTGTAGACTACACTTAAAAAACCAAAGAGTATATCTGCAGAATGTATCCATTCATTCACATATTTATTGAGCCCTTTCTATGGGCTAGGTGCTGTTTTAGGCATTAAGAATAAAGCAGTGAGCTAAACAGGAAAATATCCTGACCTTCTGGAGCTTATATTTTAACACCATCCATCTGGAATATTACTCAATAAATGTTTTAAAATAAATTCATTAAATAATTTGAATGTAATATAGGTTTCACAAACAAGTGGTGAAACAATCTCAAGCTTATGTTTTCAACAATTTCTAACGCTTAATAATGGAGCCAATTCTTATCATACCAGAAATGCTGGCAAATGATAGAAGTACCTCTCCAAGCAGTGATGATCCCTTCTCTTGAGAAAACCAATCAATGTCAGGACTACCGGTGCATGATAGGTTTTAATTATAGCCCATCACTACCTGGAAGTCACTTGAGAATCAGACCAACCAGGGGAGGTAAGAGAAACAGATAGCTCCTAAGTATGTATTTGCCTTTTAAAAGAGAGTACTTGTTAGCCCCAAATGAATAAATCTTTAACAACAGAATGTCAAGTAGTAATCAAAATGAAACAAAAACTCTCACACCCATTAGGATGGCTACTAAAAAAAGAGTTGAGAGGATGTGGAGAAACTGAAATCTTTGTGCTCTGTTTTTGTTATGGGAATGTAAAATGGTGCAGCCATTGTGGACAACAGCATGGCAGTTCCTCAAAAACTTAAAACTAGAATTACAATATGATCCAGCAATTCCACTTCTGGGTATGCAACCAAAAGAATTGAAAGTGGGGCCTCGCGAAGAGATATTTGTACACCCAGGTTCATAGCAGCATTACAATAGCTAAAATGTGGAAGCAACCCAAGTGTCCAACAAAGGATGAGTGGATAAGCAATATATGAGATAGATATATAGATATATAGGTTATATATCTATATATTTAGATATAGATATACAGTGGGATATTCTTCAGCCTAAAGAAGGAAATTTTTGACATACGCTACAACATATGTCCATGTGAACCTTGAGGACATTTTACTAAATGAAATGAGCCAGTCACAAAAAGACAGATACTAAATGATTCCGCTTAAATGAGATACTTAGAGTAGTCAAAATCATAGAGATAGAAAGTAGAATGGTGGTTGCGAGGGGCTAGGGGGAGGAAGGAATGGGGAGTTACTCTTTAACAGGTGTAGAGTTTCAGTTTTACAAAATGAAAAGAGTTAGAGATGATTGGTGATGGTTGCATAACATTATGAATGTATTTAATACCAATGAACAGTACACATAAAAATAGTTGAGGTGGTAAATTACACACACACACACACACACACACACACACACACACACACACGCATATCACAATATTTAAAATTGGGGAAGAAAATGAAACAAAGAACTTGAGACAGTGCAGAAGAAAATATTTTCAAAGTTCTATACTTCTCCCCTTCTTAAATCACATCTCAGAAGCAGCTGTCTACTATACCTAAAATAGCTAGTGTTTTCTGAGTGCCAGCTATATGCCATTCCTTTTACACACTACTGTTAATCCTACAGAAATGCTACAAGATAGGTCTTAAATAATATTTTCATGTTTTAGATTTTCATGGAGGCTGAGGATAAGAGAAGCTAAGCAGCTCGTCCAAAGTTACACACAACAGGCAAATCATAGGGGCAGAACTGAATCCAGTTCAGCAGGATTCCAAGTCCTTCTTCCTTTTTGCAACATCACACTTCCTCCCTTCCCCCACATTACTTGTGATTTTAGAAAATTCATGTGACAGACACATTTCCTGAGGGCATGAGCAATGTCATTTCAAATGTTGTCTTGAGCAAGATTATTATGACTAAGCTGCTATTACCCTTAGAAAGAAAAGAAACTGAATAACTTAAAATATTACTATTCTTATGGGAAGAGAAAAGAACTAAACCCATTTAATCCCAAAAGACTTTCATAAAAGACCTTGTTAATGCAGAGATTTTAGGATTGAGAGTTTGACATCCATCCCTAGCAGAATTTTGGAATACATTATTAATAAGAGAGCTCTAAATTGTTTGCAGATTAGCATAAACCAGTGGTTCTCTGCTATCTAAAAAGAGAAGGTGACTCCCCAAGGTGACTCCCCCCCCCCCCCCCCCCCCCCCCCCCC